TTTTAAACAATAATGATCTTAAGTGGTATCTTACTATGGCTTTGCTTTGCATTTCCCCAGTGATAGTAATGCTGAACATCTTTCCATATGCTTATTGGCCATTTGTGTATCTTCTCTGGAGAAATGTTTAATCAAGTCCTATGCCCATTTTTCAATTAGGTGTTTGGATTTTTTTTGTTGTTGTTGTTGTTATTGAGCTGTAGGAGTTCTTAATGTATTCTGAATGTTAATTCCTTATCAGATATGTGATTTGTTGATAGTGTGCTTTAATCACATAATTTTTTCGTATTGACGATGTCCAGTTTGCCTGTTTTTTTTTCTTTTGTTGTCTGTGCCTTTCATGTCATATTCAAGAGGTCATTGCCAAATTCAATGAAATTCAAGTAAGTTCAATGAAAATTCAAGTAAATTCAGTGATACGCAGGGTAAATTCAAGTTTTTGCTCTGTTTTCTTCTAACAGTTTTGTTGTTTTAGCTGTTACATTTATGTCTTTGATCCATTTTGTGTGAACTTTTGTACGTGGTGTAAGGTAAAGGTCTGACTTCATTCTTTTACATGTGGTTATCCAGTTTTTCCAGCACTGCTTGTTGCAAGATTGTCCTTTCCCCATTGGAAGGTCTTGACACCCCTGTTAAAAACCATTTGTTCATATCTGTGAGGGTTTATTTTTGGACTCTGTTCTCTCCCATGTGTCTATATCTTTGTCTTTATGCCGCTACCACACTGCTTTGTTTACTGTAGCTTTGTTTAGAAATCTGAAAGTAAGTCCTCCATTTCTTTCTTTCTTTCTCCCCCCCCCCCCAGGTTGTTTTGCTGTTTTAGGTCTATTAAGAGTCTATATGAATTTTGGGGTGGATTTTATTCTATTTTTGCAAAAATCTTCATTGAGATTTTTGTTAGGAATTGCATCAAGGCTCATCTATCTAACTGGTCTTTTCAAAGAACCAGCAGGGTTTTGTTGACTTTCTCTATTGATTTCTGACTTTAATTTATTGATTTTTTCTCTGATTTTTATTATTTCTTTTCTTCTGCTTAGTCTGGATTTGATTTGCTCTTCTCTCTCTAGTTTCCTAAATTGGAAGCTTAGGTTATTGATTTTGGAACTTTTTTCTTTGCTAATATGTGCATTAGTGCTATAAATTTTCCTTTAAGTACTTCATTCTACAAATTTTGTAAAGTCGTATTTCATTTTCATTTAGTTCAAAATATTTTTAAATTTTGCTTGAGGCTTTTAAAATTTGATTTATATTATTTTAAAGTGTGTTGTTTAATCTACAAGTATTTTGGAATTTTCCAGCTTTTTTTTTTTTTTTGATTTCTAGTTTAATTCCTTTGTGGTCTGAGAGATACATTGTATTATTCCTGTTCTTTTAAATCTGTTAAAGTCTGGTTTATGGCCCAGAATGTGATCTGTCTTGGTGAATGTTCCATGTGAGTTGGAGAAGACTGTGTGCTCTATTCTTACTGGATAAAGAACTTTCATAGCTAGAGAGGAGAGGTCAGTGCCTGGCTTCAGAACTTTGAAGGACAAGGTTGTTGTGGCTAATGCAGCTGGTAATTTGAATTGGAAGCTGGGGCTCAATTATCATTTTGAAAATCTTAGTGCCCTTAAGAATTAGGCTGAATCTACTCTGCCTGTGCTCTGTAGATGCAACAGCAAAGCCTGGATGACAGCACTTCTGTTTACAACATGGTTTACTGAATATTTTAAGGCCAGTATTGAGACCTACTGTTCAGAAAAAAAGATTCTTTTCAAAATAATACTGCTCATTGACAGTGCACGGGGTCATCCATGACCTCTGATAGAGATGGGCAATTAAATGGATGTTTTTTTCATGCCTGCGGACACAACATCCATTCTACAGCCTGTGGCTCAAGGAGTAATTTCAACTTTCAAGTCTTATTATTTAAGAAATACATATTTGCAATGCTACAGCTGCCATAGATATATGACACCTGATGAATCTAGGCAAAGTCAATTGAAAACCTCTGGAAAGGACTCACCATTCTAG